CACCCCCCTAGTCAATTGGCACCCGAATCATCATCATCATCATCATCATCACTGATGATCATCACCACTACCATGTGCACTGCCTGTGTTTCTGTCTATACGTCGCATTGTACCACGAACATTGTGTGATGCAACTTGGTTGAACTTGGGTCCCTGTCCGGGGTCTTATCCTAGGGAAGTAATTAAGAGCAACATGAAGTATTGCAGTAGCCGGAACACTTCAAGTCCGAGCGCAGACAGCGCTAGCATGGGCGCAACCTATACCGGCCATCGTGACAGGCCCGCCGGCGAATCCGAATAACAATCCAGAAACATTCAAGGAGCACTGCCTTTGCCACTGGACATGCAGCTAAGGCCATGAGGGTGTTGCGCTTTGGTGATTATGACATGATGATTTACGCTCTCACGCTCAGACTCCCCAAATGCGATCATGGTTGAACTGGAGTTTTGAAAGTTGCCGCTTGAGAGTTTATCGCGGAGTTTAGCAGTTTACCACTTACAATAAGATTTTCGGGTACACGGAGCTACTGCTGGGTAGGACAACGCAGCATGACACTCCAATCCCTTAGCTTCCTTCGTTCTTAACCCAACTTCCAACCTATTTCCAATCTCACATTACATGTTGCTAGACACTTTTTAAACGAGGAGTTGCCCTGGACCCTGAACCAGGAACCCTTTCCTGCAGCTTACGGAAACGCTTTGAGTGATGCCCTGGCTGCTGAGGACGTGGGCCGCCGATCAGCGAAACTGCGAAGGGGATCGCTGCCTGCAGGATGGTCTTCATGCCGAGTCATCAAAACAAGATCTGGCTTTGGAGCCAAGGCGATGCTACAAGGAAATGAACCTTTAACCTGCCTCACACTGACATGCCAGCATGCCGACACACGATGCTCACCGCAAGACTGAGGAAGTAACGAATCATCCTAAGCCCAATCTCAGCCACACAGGGATTTTCAATATCCAGCGCCTGCTGCAGCGAAAACGAATCAAGGATCGCTCTGAAGTTTAAACCAAGCACGCTTCAGGATATGTGAGATTTGGCAGATCGGAAGACCGTGTGTGGGCTCTCTGCTGTCTGTCCGCAAAGGGAGTGCTGGGTATCTCTGATATCCCACGCGCTGCTACAATTTCGCTGAAAGAAGCAGCCTTTCTCCAACTTGAACTCGTGGCTCGTGATGTCGCTCCACAGTCGAAGCCTCGTGGCGACAATTTGGGGCTCTGGAAGGCGGCTCTCATGAGCGACAGGGGGCTCCTTTCCGTCAGGGCTGACAGCGCAAGTCGCGTTGTGAGAAGACATGAAGATTGTCGTTGCCCTTGCTCCATCTCTCTCCAGGCCTGTTCTTGTTGAAGATGTCCTCCAAGGCTTTGAGGAGGACCTGCCATCCCCATGCTCATGGTCGTGTCTGTGTTCTGTGCCTTCACTCAGGTGAAACCCAGAAGGATTTCTCGACCTTCAAGATCTTTCTTTGGCACTGACGTTCGAGCTCCAAACGACAAGGACCCGTCTCTCGCTCACTCTCTCAGTCTCGCTTCAGCTTTCAGTCAAGGGCAGCAGCGAACTTATGCAGGTAAACCCGACAGCCAGACAAATCAATAAAATAAAGATGGACAAACTCAACCCAATACACCCCTTGAAGTCAGCTCGTCTGCCATGCAGCTTGACTAGGTTGTTGAAAACCCACTGCAAGAAGAGAGTTTGACACTCTACTTTCAAGTTTCCAGACAAGGCCGAAACCCAACAACACTCATTAGTGTTCCCGGTCCCTCTTACCTCGCTGCGGCGCCACTCAGCGCACAACACAACTTTGGCGCTACTTCGCTCCTCGGCCAGAACTTCGGAGGTCATACATGGATGTGTGTACATATAACTATATCTTCTTATTTCTATGTGTGTATATATATATATATATATACGTGCATGTAATACATACCCGCAGACATACATGCATACATACATATCTTTTTAATCTTAAATCTGTAAATGAATAAATAAATACTCATATATATATATATATATACACCGTATAAGCAGTTGTTCATACACGCACACACACACCTGTACACACTCACTCTGTCACTTCTTTCCAAATTAAAGAGTATTAAGGGCTCAGGGTTCTTGAGCTCTTGGAAGCCGGTGTGGGATCTGGGTTGGCTTGCGATGCCTGCGACAGCTGCACTGTGGTGAGAAGGTGTCTCGAGGAAAGGGGCATGTGAAGTCTTGAATGTTTGGGGGTATGGGGATCTGATGCTTCCGATTCTGGATCTGCAGGAAACACAAAATCTGTCTAGAGGGCTCGCTTGGATTTCTTGGGCTGGTAGTATCAACAGTTGGACAACTGAGTTTCACGGCTGTTCGAGCTTTCAGGATCCAACTGTGTTGCTTTTGGAGCTGAATTTGTCGGATGTTTCGCAGCAAGACCTTGTCAGACCAAAACCGCAGATTCTTCAGGTGATCTCCGCCGGAATTAGGAGGCAGAAGCGCTGTACTCTGCCGAGACGATTGTTAAACTTGATGCTGCCAGATTTGCTAGATGATGCTTGCCCACTTGCCGTGGCTCACCGGTTTTTGCCAAGAAGGAATCAGCATCACTCAGAAACACACACGGCTGGAAATGGCAAATCTACGGCAGCTAAGGACTGAGCCATAATGTGGCGAAGCGCCTGCACAACATGTCATCGGAAGCGGCTGCCGGCTTACGAAAGGGCGACGACTCTCAGGGATGCACTGATACGGCATACTCGAATCAACTGCACGACACGCAACGCCGGCTTCGATACCATGAGCAAGCTCTGTGCGTGGGAAGCAACATCATATCAGGCCATGCTAGCCAGCGCTGGCATTCTCACCTTCAGCGCCGCAGGGAAAAAGTCGGAAGTGTCGGGCTTCGCCTCAGACTTGGCTTCTGTGGCGGGTCTTGACTGGCCCAGGAGTTGCATGTTCCCGCTTTTGCGGTATTACAATTACTATTATTGTTATTATTATTATTACTATTATTGTTGCTTTTGAATACTCGCAACACAAGGCATTCGACACAGGTCCACACCCCAGCACACACGACATCAGACAGGCAAAATGATCAAGCCAGACAAGGGCGACCCAAAAGCTTGGTCTAGCAGATTATAAGCTAGTAGAGGCTGTGGATGGCTTGCCCCGCCAAAGATGTTTTTGTTGCTCTGGCTTCTTGCTCCCAAACATTCCCAGGCTGCCAGGGATTGCTTCTCCGAGCTACACAAATATGTCTGACGGTGCTTGCTGGATGCACGGGCACTATAAACACACTGTTAACTTGGAGTTCAATGTAGAGCGCTGGATCGATAGTAGGGGGCTTGCGCTAGGCCCAAGGTAACGGCAAAATGTCGGGATCACAGTCATGAATTCAGCAAGGCGGCGGCCTCGCCATCCGTGGAAATGTCAAAGGTTCCTGCCGCATGAGACATGTAAGCAGGCGTGGTCACCGCTGGCACCATTGTTCAAGCACAGGACAAACTTAGCAGAATTGAGGAGGGCATGCGGGACATAACGATAGCCCGTGTTTGAGAGGCTGAAGGGAAGCACTGTTGAGAACCTGACCGCCGGGCTGTCTGCATTAGTTAAAGCCTCTCAAAAATCTTCGTAAATATGGACCTTTAAAGCCAAGACAGGAATGCCTGGTGGTGATGTACTGAGATGCCCCTACAGGAAGCGGCAGGTCCTGCTCGTGCCGGTCGAAGTACGCCATCCACGTCGAGGAACACGATTTTGCTGCGATCCTGTCTGTGGATTCGGGCTCAGGATTCTTAGGGCTTTGTGTTTAAGAGCGTGTGCACCGGAGGAATATCACTGCGACTGTGCATCAGCATGTTCATGGTTCGGCTCATGCACTATGATTCATCTCCACATCTGGCTTGGGCATGAGTGTTTCAGCGGGCAGAAGTGAAGCAGTGTGAGGTTGAGGTTTGCGGACATGAATGGTGGGCTTTAGCTTACAGCACGGTCTGCTGCAGTAAACGGGAACTACATCGAGGTGCTCGAGGCGGACCCTAAAACCATCCAAAACCAAACCCCGACATGGCCTGCTTAGCAACCCTTCCCATCCCGGCTTATACTCTGCTCCTCCGGAGCGAGGCCCAAGTCCGCCTGACCAAGTCGTTATTCTGCGATCCGTTTATTTACACGGAGGCAGTTCGCAAGACCCTTCTGTGAGCCACGTTGGGGTCTTGTTCAGTTCTGTCTGTGTCTCTCGGAGACTGCGACTTATCGAACATGTGCATATCAGGCGATCGACATTCCACCACTTCTCCTCCAGGATCGTTTAAATGCGTTTTGACGGGCTTTCAGAAAGGTGCTTAGAAGCACAGTAAGACGAAGCGATGCGTGACATGATAGACAGTAGCCACCCTCCTCGGAAAAGAGAGAGATTCTGACGTCACAGGAACTGAAACGAAAACATCCTTATCACGTCATGGAGAGCTCTCCTGTGGACCAAGTTCTGCGAATCTGCACACAACCTATTTAACCGTAACCCTGGAAGCTCATGCCGGCTGGCAAATTCGCTGAGTCGTGATGGATGGCATACACATAGCAGCAGCACGCCCCTTGCCTGCGGCCCTCGCTCCCCAGCAGCCCGCATGGCAGCCTTCACACAAAGATAAAGTTTTCAAGGTACGAACATCCGCCGGACCGACGGTCGGGTGCACGACTCGACCCCACAGTCTGACGATGGCGCGCGGTCTCTGCAACTTGACTTGAGACGACGCCACGAAAGCCAGGGCAAAAAGGAACAAGAGTCGACAGAGCTTGGGCAGCGTGGATGCAAGCATGTATGTACTGCCATGAAGCTTAAGCCTGCAAATTGATAGCACTAGTTCTGCTTTACACTGGCCCACATAAAGATACACCCTTGTCGTATCGTAGTGCTTTGACCGACCTGAACGCGCGTCGGAGTGTCCCTGCGTAAGCCATTACCCGGTAAATTACCCGGCCATCTACGAGCAGCTTCGATCTGTCCTGGTGGCAGTTTAGCTAATTATTGAGGGGTCATACATGAAGCCTGCTAAGTAGATGCATTCAGCCACGTCAGCACAAAACACAAGTTGCCGTGTTGCTTAAACAGATGGACCATGTGGACCTTGGGGTGGAAGGGGGGACCCAATCAATTATTGGCGTGGCGGCGTGGGGGCCCCCCCGCTTGAACTATTGTGAACGGCCCAGATAAGGTCCTGCAAACGACAACTCTCGTAAGCTCCACAGAGCTAGCTAGCTTTCGCGACTTTTGCTATCAAACCCGCTCATGGGGGCTCCTGCACCGCCTCTCGCAGTGTCGAACCACAGGGTTCGACCCAGTCGTTGCGCGGATTCAGCGAACAGGAGGGCTAGCAAAATCGGCATCAGCTTGAAATCTTTCTGAGATTTCCATAGCCGGTCCTCCAGCGCACAGCATCGCAGCAGTTCCACACAGTCATTTGCACAGATTGAACGAACCGCAAAGCATGCATTATCGGCATCAGCTGGACATCTTGCTAAACTCACTCTCCCGTGTCCGGACCTTTGACTCCACGCAGGGTCATACCACCACATGTTGCCGTTCACCGGATATCTGCTGACCACGCGGACCAGCGAGCGAGCATCACCACTATCACCACTATAATACTGGCTGCCTTTCACCAGAGGTGTTGAGCATCATGAGCATCAGCTTCCTGTATAGTGGGCATCAGCAGGTCTCCCCATCACACATCGCAGTGAGCGATCATGATCATCATCAGCTTCCGGCTGCCTCCCGGCAAACAACTCGAAGAGTATCATCGGCGTCATTGGCAGGATATCTTCTGCTTATGGGACCACGCATCATCTCATCGAGAGTCCTAGCATCATTGGCCTCGGATCAACAAGCCCAGGCCGCATCTGCAGCAACATCTTCTGTAGGGGCCTTAATAGCTAGAATCGGGTTTCGGGGCCCATTATACTATAATGATGATAAGGAACCCCCAAAGTAATATTGGTATTTGTTTAGGCCCCTGTATTACCCAAAAGGGGCAACACAGGATTCTTACACGTGTTTATTGTCTGACCTCCGATGCGGCTGCAGAGTCTGCGTCTGGCCTTGGTTTTGGAGGCAGTCTTAGCTTTCGGTATGTTGTAAACGTGTGCAATGACCGAATGTCGTTGGGAAGGCCCGTCAACATCGTGACTGGATATTACCTGACATGGTTTGACGAAGCTTGAAGATCATTGAAGATCGGCTCAGTGGCCACATCGAGCTGTGGTTGTTTGTCTGTCGGGTTGCCAAAGCTACTTTAGCGGTGCAGCCCAGGAAGAAGTTCAAGCTTTGCTGGTTCAGAGTATCAATTTGAAAACTGCGACTTGTCCGAGATCGCCAGGAACGGTGCTCAGCCTAAACAGCAAGGCCTCGATCTACTGGTGCAACGACTCATGCCTGCACCCTAAGATTCAGAGCATGTACTGTAGGTTGTTCATGGTTCTTGGAGGTACTTGCGAGTAGCTGCAATCAATGCCGTTTCCATAGACTCTGCTGACCTCGGTGCTTCGTTCTCGGGAAGGGAGACGAAACATCAAATTCGGCTCTCGAGCACTGGTCTCCAGAAACATCAACGACGCAGCCCGACCCGAGACGAAAACATACATTGCTAGAATCCAGGCAATCTTACACCGCATTGCCGGAACGCTTCACTTGGGGCCCAACTGTGGCATGTCGCCGTACAGGGACTCGGCCTGGCTCTCGTTGTGATGCGGTGGCGCTAGCTTGACTGCGACGGACTTGACGTGCACGACTACCACTATGGCTGCGAGGACTACCAGAATCTCATGCCCTTATTACAGCTACTAGTTTATTTTCGCCATAGCCACAGCAGTACAATCGTGATAAGGCTGCTGTTGCTGATTACTCTTTGGTTGGGATGAAAGGCTGCTGGCATTGCATCCGTCTTCGTGGTTATGTCGTAGTTGTAGGGATTGTAGGGATTGACAGTAGTAGCAGAACGAGTCGTTGTAGAGTTTGCAAGACTTCATAGCAATAAAGTCGTCGTCATCGCCGTCGTCGTAACTCACAGAGGCGAGCAAGTCGTAGTGGCGGTAGCTCCGGTACGTCGTCCTCGTAGTGGTAGTCGTTGTCGTCGGCGTCGTCACAAGAGTAGCAGTGGTAGCAGTGGCAGCAGCAGTAGCCGCAGCAGTAGTAGCAGCCGTAGCCGTAGCCGTAGCCGGAGCTGTAGCAGGAGCAGCAGCAGGAGTAGTAGTCGTAGTGGTGGTAGAACAGCAGTAATAGAATGGCAATTGATAGAAATTGCGTTGATAGTAGTATTAGCAGTGGTAGTAGTAGTAGTCGTCGTAGTAGTAGTAGTAGTAGTAGTAATAGTAGTAGTAGGAGTAGTAGTAGTAGGAGTAGTAGTAGTAGTAGTAGTAGTAGTAGTTGGAGTAGCAGTAGGAGTAGAAGTAGCGGTAGCAGTAGCAG